CTACATGCTTCTGGATTGGTGCACAGTTTTCTAAAAGTATGCTGAATCTGTTTCAGAAAGGTCTCAAACTAAATGTAAACACCATTAGAAAGTAAGTAGAATAACTAAAATTTTAAGAGAAATTCATATTATAGTGGTAATTCAGTAAAAAATATAATCAATTTAGAGAAACGATATACAGACTTTAAAGCAATTTGAATGAATGATTAAATAGTAAACGTGAAACTGCAAGCATTGTGAATAGCAAGCAAGAGGTATAAAAATTAAACTTGTTACAATAGTACATGTCATTTATTCTATCACTCACTTTTTATATGTCTAAAAACAATAAAATATTTCTTCCTTGATGATTACGATATACTCAGCGAATTCTTTTCTCGGGTCTAATTTTCAAATTCGGAACTTCAATAATGAACGAATTTTGACGTCAGATCTCGCCAAATTTATATCTTCCTTTTAGCCAAATCAAAAAATTTCAATATAGTCAAGAGCAAATGTTACTTCGAATGACTAGTCAATTATTTTTTTTTCCTCGAATAGAACTTACCTTAAAATTATTTCCTGCGAATACTTACGACAACGTTATCGCAAAAAATTTGGAAGACTGAGATTTAATACTTTCTTTCATCCTTTCGTTTACCATAACATTCTGACACTTTTCAACTCTGATACGACATAATTTCTTATCAGATCGAATAATGATAGTTCATATGATTATTCTATATAATATATCTTCGGTACACTACGTAAGAACACGCAAGAGTCAAGTTTTAAATTATTCACTCAGATACTACATCCATACTGAAGTTGTAAATGTTGTTATATAAGCTAATTTTAAGAGAGTAGAAACTTAAGTTAAATGGTTAATGGCAAGCTATACGACTTAGTGAAACTTAATAATAAACAACTTAATTTGCTTCTCTTTTCCAATCTATGTCTTCGAAATGTATGTACGAGTATTGAATTAGAAAAAGTGCTCTGTGAGCAAATACTAAGAGAATAATTTCAAATTTCATTTATTGTTAACGTAGAAGATATTTTGGGGATATCTTTCTATCGTTATTATTAAACTCATTATCGTGTATCTTTTTCTAAATTTACAAGTAAAACTTGAAATTATATTTGCAATCGGAAATAATTTTTCCACAGTAAATTTTAAACACACTTGACAGTGTCTAAAAGAAACTTGTCTTTGCAATGATGGGTACAAAAAACTTCTAATTCTAATAAATTCTAAGTATATTTAATCCATTTTTATTACAATGACTACTCGATAATACTAGAAGATAAGATTCATCATAACGAACTTGTGTATCAAAGTTAATATTAAAATTTAATAAAGTTATATTAAAATTGTAAATTTATTAAATGGATTAAAATTATAGATTCGTGCGTTAAATATTACTTTGTGATATTTATCTAAATTTTGATATACTCTAATTTTATCCAATGAATTTTTTTGAAATGCGGTGATACGCACACGAGGGTATCTGCCACGGGGAAGAATTCCTTTGTTGAAAAATTTTTACAAAAACCTCTAGTCCACACATGGCAAAAACCTCGAAACTTTCCATGCAATCAGCCTATATACAGCGATTTGAATGCGAGTCGAGTTACCAGTGTTCAGCGACTTTACTACTCTGGCACTGGAGGACGTATCTAATGAATATAATGAAAGTGTGTAATATTCTTCTTATTTACAGAAACTTCAGATTTTTGTATCAGAAAACAAATTTGTGAATAGGCACTTTTCTCCCCAACACACTTTCTAGAAAAGTTGAAATCTGAAGTTTCAGAAATGAACGGACATAAAAAACCAGCACAGATATTCTTGTAGTCTAGCGTGGAGGGCAATGAACTCTCACTCAATAAATCGATATTCCCTTTCGTCATGGGATATGACTAAAAAAAGAAGAGAAAAACGACGAATTAAAAAAGTTTTGATAATTTTTCGATGAATCAGCACATAAAACATCAATTTGTTAAGGTTAAATACACAAGATTCTCTGACCTACAATAAATTTGCATTTAAAACGTTCAAAATTCTGACAAAAATCTTCACTTCGAAGCTATAAATTCGAATACTGATAGTTTGAAAGCAAAGAGTTGTTAAGGACCTCTCGGACAACTTCAAATAGTGACATTTATAGAGTGATATCCTGATCAATATTATCGAAGTCTGCAAAATATTATACAAAAAAACTGCGAATATAACAGCCTTTATCAAGTAAGGGTAGACAAAAAAAAAGGGGAGGGGAGCTGGATGACTATATTTCGTTTCCTGTGAAATAAGAATGTGGATTAGTTTTTCTTCATACTAAAAATAAAGTTAGATTACGCAACCCGAATGGTTGGTGCTATTGTTGGCACGACTTTTACAGAGGGAAAAGAACTTTTTCTGAAAAGCAGTAGGCAGTTTCGATGGGGAGGTTTGCGCTTCTGAATTTAGATGTGAACTTAACATTGTTTTCCATTACGTATTTGAATCAAAGAAATTGAATAAAGGTTATAGATCTATATTGATTGAATAAAGGTTATAGATCTATATTGATTGAATAAAGGTTATAGATTCCAAAATTTGCTAAAATTATTTTTCATCTGTTCTTAAATAGCTTCCGGTTTTGAAGACAGTCTTCTTTTTAAGGATTCTAAAAAGCTCATCCAACACCCGTATGCCAAATAAACAGTGGATTTTACCTTTGACAATTTTACATTTTTTGATGATCTTGTTCGTAGTGCTGATAGGTAACCAACAGTTTCCTTGTTTGGAGCCAAATATAAATGCTCAGTTTCCACTAATCAAAGCATTTCATAATATGGCAAGTAACAAAAAAAATGTAACCTAACACCACAGAACTATTAAAAGGGGAAAAAAGATCAAATGGGATTACAGGGGCTAATATTTTCAATAACTCATTTTATCAGGCTGTCTCATTCATAGGTCATCGAAATGTGTGGTGAATAGCACTGGCGATACTTTATAGAATTAAAAAAATATCTGTGATCATTTATTTGCTGACGATAATATATAATTTCGCTGTGATTCGCTAACAAATGATTGAAACAAGTGCATTTATTAAGACTTATTACGATTTAGAATTACAAGAAATGGAGAAATATTAAGTTTAAATGTACATAAAAAACAAATAAAGCAAAATTTCTTTTAATATCTCTTCCCATATATTACGGGGATATTTGCCGATAAGCTAAACTATAACAACAATAAAAAAAACCTGAAGTCAAGAACAGTAATCGAGTTGCAAATGATCTGCTTCTTTCCATTAATTTTCTATGCTGGAAAAAATCATGAATAGAAGAAATTTACTTTCATATTTTCCTTCTATTAAAATCTTCATTAGCAAGAACTAACAACAGCTTTTAAACATTTTAAAAGAAACAATGATGCAAAGATCTCTATCGTGCTTCAGAGCAAAAAGTATGATGTATTATTCTCAATATGAACCGAAAACGCCCAACAGAAACACCCAAAACGGCTTCTTTAAAGGAGCTTACTGTAATCTATAACCTTCAGTTAAAACAGCATAAAAAATTGCTCGATATGGACTCCCATCATTCTCTTTTTTTTTTATACCCATGATGCAGCATTCCCGCCTTCGGCAATCGCTGATGCTACTACCATCTGAAAATTAAACTCCTCTTACTTCCTCAGTTGCTGCTGTAGATGTAACTTTCATTTAACCTCCAGCATTTATACGACCTTCTCTTCTATTCTACTAGAAAAGCAGCAGCAAATGACTTCAAATTCGCCATTCCCTTGGATGATACGGTTTTTTTTATCGATCGGAACCATGTTAGGCTTCGTGGTAGACAGAGGTCGCTGTCGGTCATTCGATACGAATTACATATCGTTATTCATATTTCAAACCGTTCTAGCTTAATTATATGCACTGCATTTTATTTTCTACAACTGAATTTATATTAAAATCGATCTTCTGTGACGCATACATTATAATGGCAAGGAATACAAGAGAATTAGTAAAATTAATTGTAGCGGATAAATTTATTGTTCGGAGAAATAAGGTTATATTATGAAATTACATTTTGTAAGTAATTAACGTCAGGTTTAATAACAATCATACACCAATGTAATATAGGTGACCAGTTTAAGAATTTTTAAGACGATGTATAATATCCACTTCAGTTCATAATTTAATAACGTATAAGAAAGGACGTTTTTAAATTAAGAATAAATTAAATTATTTGGTATACAAGTTTAATTGCTAAGACTAAAGCAAAATTAAAAATTATAATCAGTTTATGGATTCTCCATTCAAATTTAAAAATCAAGAAATAAAAAATTCTGCGTTTCTCTGCATCGATTAATAGAATAATTATAAAAAATAATTTGTAAGTGACCTTAGTTATTATTTTTTCTTTCTCTTTTATTTCATTTTATGCGACATGGCTGGAGAGATTCTAAATAATCATGGTATAACTGTGAATTTTATTAGAGTTCTTGAGATTAATTCTCACATATATTTGATGGTCTTTTCAAATTTTGAGAAATTAGTTACAGAATAATTTTAAAAACTTTCATTAACAATTTACAGAGTACCAGTATGTGAATGAATTACAGATACGTACGGAAAACCAAGTATATCATAAAACATATACACTTTTATAAAAGTAGCGTAAAAGAGAATAACACTCCCCAGTTCCTTTTCAGAAAATGATTTTTTCTTTAAAGCAGATTCAAGAATGCATCACTTCGTTCTGAAACACGACAGTTTCACAGTACGTAATTTTCTGATTTCCCTTTCGCTTCAGTCACGGATAGTATATTCTTTGCAGAATTAAAAGGATTAAAAGAATTTAAGGAGATTCAGAATATAGGTAGCATTTTTTATAACAATATACTTATACATTTCTTTTCAGCATATGCCACATTTAGATCATGTGAAGTTACACATTCATATTTATGTAACTCTCGATATTAAATCGAGCTTAAACGTAGGAACAGAAGTAAAAAGTAAATTTACCTTTATACTGTTTGTCCACTGAGATCTGTTTAGATACATGCTGAACCTGCAGTAAGAGTTTTACTCTTTCAATTGGGGCTACGGCGGTTTTGGAGATGGCCGCCGCGACACCCCCAGCTAAAAAATCCTTAGCAAAAGATAGAACGTCCACAGGCATGTTGAAATATTTCTTTTAATCCGAGATATACAAATCTCCTGCGATTGTGTTCTTCGATCGTGGTCTGCGAAAGGCTCTTGCTAGCTGGGGCGTCCGCCGGCGTTCCGCACTGCGCTGGGAAAGGACACGGCTAGGTGACAGGGTTGCATCCAGTTGGCGAAAATTTGGCGAAATAAAACTCGATGCCAAGACGGCAATGGTCTCCTGGAGATGTATTAGGAATAAAGGCTTTAATGAATGCAAGACTCTTCCGCTTTCTTATAGAGAAGAATTTATGTTTGGCGCCATATTTTGTTGGATCGCACCCAAAGAAAGTCTCTTCTATATCCTTAACTTAGCCCTTAACGTAAAATGCTAGGGGTTAAATTATATTATTATTTTTTTTTTCCTTTTATCTAAGAGGAGGTATTAACTAATCAGTCTGAAAAAGCAAGACATAAACACCTAAACAACCGATTACAAAATAATGGGTGGTGTTCTTTGGTACTTTTACGACAGTTGTTCATTAGGTGGTTATTGTGCTGATGTCTAAACAGCATGATCATTGCTGGATAATACATCGCGGAGATATGTTTCTCCAGTTCAAAATGTGGCAATAAATGTGAAGACTGCTTTTGAGAGATATAAATCTTCACGTGCAGTGGTTACGGGAGCCCTATGCGGTACCAAGAGCCCGAGTTCGAATCCCGGAGAAGGTATGGATGTTTGTAAATGTATAGCGTCTTTGCGGCAGGGGAGCACTCTAAAGATACGTTTAGCCAAAAGTCATCTCGGGGGGGGGGGCTTTGGTGGTAGGGGAGAGCGGTAGGAGACCACCCTCCGGGGTGCTCTTCCTCAAAAAGTCCAACTTCCTTGCGGCTCTGTGTAACGATTCAATGCTGAAGAAATATTTTCCAAAATATTGAATTAATTTGGTTTCTATAAAGATTTAGGATTAAATTAGCATAAAGTCGAAAGTTGAAGAAAACAATTTTCTTACATCTTATCCTTCAATATAAATCATTGTAAGTAAATACAACGCTTGGCCTTTTCATACAGTTGCTTATTCATAGAACTCATCTTTCAGGATACTGTTCAAATCTCTGGTTACGATTTTCTGAATTTCTTTAGTTCTATTAAATTTTCTTCAGACTCTGAATCCTCCTCAAAAACCTATCCATTATATTTTTATAAAACATGAAGTTCCCCGTTTGTTCCTCAGAAATAAATTCTTTGCGAATTGCCTTTTCCAATTAAAAAATTTCACCAGCGTGGTCTTTACTGGAAATTCCTGGAAACGAACTTTCTGGGCCTGTAGTGGAAACAATATTCCAATTAGATGAATACTGTTTTGCATCAGGTTCATAAGCAAAGCACGAAGTCTCATCTTCAGTCAGAACTAGTTAGGAAAAAATTAAGATATATGTCTGCCATTTAGATGAAATCATTGTTATCCTTTACTCAACTTTTGAATTCATGACACCAGGTGTTCACTCGACCAAAGCAAGCAAATAAAATTATGTCCTCAAACAGACCGTATTTTAGGAAACGTAAACTGTAATGGTATAGTAAATAAATTCTGGCAATTATCGTTTGGCAGATTTGCTGGAATTTATTGAAAAAAATAATCCTAAAGCTTTGCAGACGTACCCTTTATCAATTACACAAAATTTCAATAAATCTCTCTAGAATGGTATATTTTTTCTAATTATTTGGTTTCAATGCATTTTATGTAAACGTGTAATTTTAAAAATGTTGTCTGTAAGTAAATTTGATATATATATATATATACACGGTTCTAATTCTAATTACTTCTAGTTCTTAAATTTTCCTGGATTACAAACAGCTATTACTGACATGAAATTTCTCCAAATCTTCTGTTTCGTATCCTTCGCAAGAATAAAAATATGCAAATTTTCTGATGTTTTTTCATTACTTTCACTTCTCGCAACTTCTGATGTACACAAGAATAAAAATATGTAAATTTTATAATATTTTCCTTCTTACTTTTAGCTCTAAGCTTTTTGCTGCTTCCTTTCTACTGCACATAGTATTCCATTGCAGTAATAATTGAAATAAGCTCTTTTGCTCTGATTTTAAAATTTATCTACTCAAGTCTTTGTGTTTTTATGAGCAGGAATATTGTGAAATCAGCCATGCTTTCTCAGGTATCCAACCAAGGCAATTAAAGCGCTTCCCGATATACTGACCACTACACCCAAATGACAAATGAGGAAATGCCTTTATTTTTTCACAAAATAAGTTTTACAAATGGTTTATTTATATTTTAAAAAAATTTAAATACTTTAAGAATGCAATCATGAAGAAAAATGATTTATGAAATATTGAAAGTATATGGTTTAATAAGATAGTTAGGATTTATTCCAAACGAAATTTCTAAAATTAGAACAATATAGTATCGCTTTTGCGTGAATAAGCCAAAATAATTTAATCTGGATAGTAGGGCATATTTAACAATGACAAAGTATTTGATGCTTATTTGTTCAATGACAGAAATGCTTTCGCAGATATCTTGCTAACGATGTAAGGTATTTTCTCCCTTTTTACCGCATGCCTTCGTGGTGCACTTGAAAAGCGTATCCGGCTACTTGGTTAACACTAACGAGCCTTTAAGTCTTTTTGAAGTTTGATTTCCTGCAATGAATGTGTTCTTCAAGAAGCTTTAGAATTATGCAGAAATTTGCTCTTCTAGAACAGGGCTTCCATGTAAACAAAGCACTACCACAGAGACAATATTAGCAAGAGATCTGCTACATAATGTAAATGCCTAGTCAGTACGAATATTCTCTGCCAACAGAACAGAAAGTTGACATATTTTCAGTTGGAAAAACATAACCTTAATTACTTCACATTAAAGAACAGTTTTAAACCCTATTATAGAACAATTATTTAACGATTTTTAAAATTGTATTTATTAAATTTTAAACTCGATTTCTTGAGTGCACTATAATTTGCATTAAAAATAGAATCCTGTGATCGTGATAAAATTTTGTACTAATATATAGATTGTATTTCGTTTTGTACTTTTATCTGAGAGGCAATTTGCTTTTTAATATTTTGATATTTTCCAGTTTATACGTTTGTTATTTTCCTGTTACGTTCAAAAACGTCATGCTGGGGGGGGGGAACCACTGCAACTTTTAAAGTTTGTATATATTTTAATTTTATTTTATAATTTGACATTAATAAATGCCATTTTTGTTTAAGAAGAGAAGTATCACTTTTTGTATTGACTTTTCATGCTTTTTAATTTTTCGATACTTTTAACAGTAAACTTTTTTCAAAGTACAGTGGAACCTTGGGATCACGAACAATTCGGTTCACCAACACATTATCTGAAAAAAGTCTGCCTCAGATGACGAAAGGTGTCTGGAGCTACGAACGTTCAGTGATTTTCGAAGGTGAGGTAACCTATGTCACATAATTAACACTCAGCGCCTTTTTTAAACGTAATTTTTACATTTTTCCTTCCTTAACTCTGATTAATAAAGCCTGGCAGCAAATAATAGCTTATAGGACCATGAATTCGGCCTGGTGGAAATAACGGCCAGACTGGGTTGATCTTATATATCGTGAAAACTTTTACACAAAGTTTTCACATAATTACATCAGAATTTTCAGTCACTATGGCATGTCCCACTTTAGAAACATTTTTAAAAGTGGGCAACAATAAATCACATTGGACAGATTTTGACCGAATCAGTGAGTCTCAAGCAGTGCCGCTTATATACAAAGAAAATAAAAGAAGATGCCTCCCTCAAGATATTTTTGTGGAAGCGAATTTCGTATCCAAACAATAACATCTTTCTCATAATATTTTACCTGTGCTATTCACTCTCCTTCGTACAGGTAAAGTAAAAATAAATTAAATTTTCATCTATTTTATTTCTTTAATATTGTGTTTATATTCTTTTATTGGAGACATATTAAGCTCTATTAGTTTTGGATTATGAACTTGTGTACGAGGTACTGTTTTAAAGTTTAAATAAGTAGTCACATGTGATTCAGATACGAAATTTACTTTAATTTCTATGGCTAAAACATTTTCGTTTCACTAACATTTCGGCTGAAGAACGGCTTTCAGAAAGTTTTTAGTAAGTTTGTAGGTTCTGAGTTTAATTTTACATAATTTTTATTTCATCGTCAAATTTCCTCTTAATAAACTAGGTCACATCTATATATTTTACTGCCATAACTACAGTTATGGTTGATTAATGATTCAGCATAAATAGGCATTAATCAGTTTACGCTGATATTAAAAATACATTTTATTTTTGTTTTTAAGCTGCTGAATATACTATAATGAGTACAGTTAAAGAATGAGCAAAAGTCTCTAGGTAGTTTCGAATAAAGTAACTCTATTCTATGTAAATTTTTCAAAATTTTAGCTAGAAAAAGTTTCAAGAAATGAAGAAATTCAAGAAATGAAGAATTTTTTCTTTTGCATCATACGTGGAAAAATACTGTCCCTTAATTTTTCTCTCTTTCCTGTTTCGCGTAACTCTGCTTTGTGAAGGATGTTCTCCATATGACAGCCTGTCAAAGTTAATACTCGGATTTCGGCTCTGATATTGTCGTGACAACTTCGGGGTTATTTTCAGTACAACTTGTAGTGTAAATAACCCTGGAAGAGGATGTGTATACGGAGGAAGCACAGTTATATCGAGAAGCCTGAAAACAAGATGAAAATTCAATTTCAGCTTGTTCGATATTGTTAACCCAATATATATACAAAATGCTCGAAAAAAGACTGAAGGTTTCCTTTCCTTAAATATATATCTTAAATAAATATATGTGTATTAGAATTGTGTACTTCCAGTCACTACTTTTCTCAGAGAGGTAAATAATTTAAAATTGAGAAAAAATAAACCTTAAATCCAAGCAGATTTTAAATATTTCTATAGATTTTGAGAGCGTTTGGCCATAGGCCTGAAAGAGAAGAGAAAGTTTTTACAAAGGTGAGGAGAAGCAACAACCATGTTATATGAAAAGCAATGTACGGAGCAAAGCGAAGACGAAAGTAACGCCCTCAGTCGTCAAGTAATGATATGTGAAAAGGTCATTTATGATGGACAATGTTTTAAGAACACCCTAATTTGGAAAGCCCCACAAGTATAAAATGTAATAA